CACCCCAGGGTCTCCATGCCGGAGACCTCCCCAGCCTTGCTATGGACGGGGAAGGTTGGCGATGCGTCTGCCTTCCGTGTCTGGGGATCTCGGGCGTTTGTCCGCGACTTGTCTGCGGACAAGCTGTCCCCTCGTGCTGCTCCTTGCGTCTTCCTTGGCTTCCCCCCTGACGCGCCAGGGTGGCAGTTCTACCACCCCACCTCTCGCCGTGCTCTGTCCTCCCAGGACGTCACGTTTGACGAGTCGGTCCCCTACTACCGCCTCTTCCCCTACCGCACTCCGTCCCTCCCCCCGCCACCGCTCTTCCTTGTGCCAGGTCCCCCCCCGGTAGACCCCCTCCCCCCTCAGGGTCCTGCCCCTTCAGGTGTGTCCCAGGTAGACGCAGTCGAGCCTGTCGAGGTTACTAGTGACTCTGGTGCTGCTGAGGGTGCTGAGCCTGGGGGTGCTGACTCTGGGGGTGCTGATCGTGTGGGTGCTACGCCTGGGGGTGCTGAGCCTGAGGGTGCTACTACTGGGGGTCCTGAGCCTGGGGGTGCTGAGCCTGGGGGTGCTACGCCTGGAGGTGCTGAGCCTGGGGGTGCGGAGCTTGAGGGAGCTGGGCCTGCTCGTGTGGCGTCTGGAGGTGCTGAGCCTGGAGGTTCTCCGGGTGCTTCGTCTCGGCGGGAGCCACTCTCTCCACAGGAGCTGCGCGAGTGGTTTGCCCGGCGCTGGAGGCGTGCTGCTGGAGCTGGAGGTTCTTCGACTGCTGAGGGTGCTGGTGCCGCGGGTCCCGGAGGTGCTCGTACTGGGAGTACTGGAGCTGCTAGGCCTGCGGGTACGACTGGAGCTGGAGCTGCTGAGGGTGTTGGCGCTGAGGCTACTGCTGTCGGTCCTGGAGGCAGTCCTGCTGGGGGTGCTACTGTTGCTGCTGAAGGTACTGGAGCTGGAGGTGCTGCTGGCGCTGGTGCTGCCGCTGGGGGTACTGGTGCTGTCCCTGCTGTGTCTGGAGTCGCGGCGCGGCCTCGGCCGTACTTCGTTCCGCTCCTTCAGCAGGTTCTTGGTCTCCCGCCTTCTACTGGTCCTCCTCCTCCCTTAGAGTGTCCACAGCCTGTCCCGTCACAGTTACAGTTACAGCCGGCCTCCCCACTGCCTGCTCCTTCTCCCTACACTGGTCCTACTGGAGGTCTTGCTGAGCGTCGTGAGCCTGCGTCTCGCCCTGCGTCGCCTGTCCGTGCTGCTCGCACTAGTGGTCGTGGTTCGCGTCCGCGTCCTCCTCCTGTCCCTGGCACGCACCGGATGTCTCTGCGTCCGTCCACTGCTCCTCTGCGTGCCCCTTTGCCTTCTCCTCCTGAGTCCTCTCTTCCTGCTCTTCCTGACCCGGAGTCGGACTCTCTTCGTGCTGCCAGTCCTACTGTCACGCGTCTCCTTGCTACTGTTGTCACTGACCCTTCCTTTGAGTCCACTGCTGCGTCTGCCCTAGTTACTGAGCTCGTCGACTTTGCTGCTCGCTGTCGTCTAGACTACGCTGCTAGTCTTGTTGCTGAGTCTGAGTCTGTCTGTCCTCCGTCCGTCGGGGGTGAGTGTGCCCTTGGCACGGACGTCCTTGAGGACAGGCAGGAGGAGTTCCAGTGTTTGGCTGCTGCTTCACCTCATCTCGTGTCCGTACTGCTTACCCCTGAGGGAGACCCGGATGCACTTGACATCCCGACTCCGCGCTCTTACGCGGAGGCGATAGAGGGTCCCTACTCCTCTCAGTGGCAGGCAGCTATGGACGCAGAGATGGCTTCCTGGAAGTCCACAGGCACCTACGTTGACGAGGTTCCCCCACCTGGGGCGAACATCGTCAGTGGCATGTGGATTTTCAGGGTGAAGCGGCCGCCGGGTTCTCCGCCTGTCTTCAAGGCGCGTTACGTGGCTCGTGGCTTCAGTCAGCGGCAGGGAGTTGACTACTTTCAGACCTTCTCTCCCACCCCGAAGATGACCACTCTTCGGGTACTGCTGCACATAGCTGCTCACCGCGACTACGAGCTGCACTCTCTTGACTTCAGCACTGCTTTCTTGCAGGGCAGCCTGCACGAGGAGATCTGGCTGCGTCGCCCACCTGGCTTCACTGGGTCTTTTCCTCCTGGCACCCAGTGGAGCCTCCGGCGGCCAGTCTACGGTCTCCGCCAGGCACCGCGTGAGTGGCACGACACACTGAGGACTACACTTGCGGCTCTTGGGTTTGCTCCCTCTACTGCCGACCCGTCGCTGTTTCTGCGCACCGACACTTCTTTGCCGCCGTTCTACATCCTCGTGTACGTCGACGACTTGGTCTTCGCCACAGCTGACACTGCTGGACTCGCCCACGTGAAGTCCGAGCTGCAGAAGAGACACACGTGCACAGACCTGGGTGAACTGCGCAGCTACCTTGGCTTGCAGATCACCCGGGACAGAGCACGCCGCACCATTACCCTGACTCAGTCACACATGGTGCAGCAGGTCCTTCAGCGCTTCGGCTTCACGTACTCCTCGCCTCAGGCCACTCCTCTGCCTACTCGCCACTCGCTCTCAGCTCTGCCTTCGGATGAGTCCGTAGAGTCGAGTGGCCCGTACCCAGAGCTTGTTGGCTGCCTCATGTACCTGATGACCTGCACACGACCTGACCTTGCGTACCCTCTTAGCATTCTTGCACGCTATGTTGCTCCTGGGAGACACAGACCGGAGCACATGGCTGCAGCGAAGAGGGTGTTGCGCTACTTTTGCAGTACGTCGGGCATGGGGCTTGTGCTTGGAGGGCAGAGTCCAGTGGTCCTCACTGGGCACGCAGACGCTTCTTGGGCTGACGACCAGGCTACGCAGCGGTCGTCACAGGGTTACACCTTCAGCCTTGGTTCCGGCTCTGTTTCGTGGCGGGCTACCCGCTCGTCTTCTGTTCTCGGCTCCAGTTGTGAGGCTGAGATCTACGCCGGGGCCATGGCTGCACAGGAGCTTCGCTGGCTCACCTACCTGCTGACTGACCTCGGAGAGCCGCCTCGTTCTCCTCCAGTGCTGTACGTAGACAACAAGGCCATGCTGGCCTTGTGTCGAGAGCAGAGACTGGAGCACAGAACGAAGCACATTGCTCTCCGCTACTTCTTTGCTCGTGAGCTACAGCAGCGTGGTCAGCTGCGGCTTGCGTACGTGGCCTCTGAGGCCAACACTGCTGATATCTTCACCAAGGCACTTGCGCCTTGTGATCATCAGCGCTTCTGTACTCAGCTTGGTCTTGTGCCTACCTTGCCTCACTTGCTCACCCCTTGACCTTGTTTGTACTGTTGCATATATATATACACCTGCTCTTGCTTGTCTAGTCTTATATATATATATATGCAATCCTGCATGTGAACTGACCTTGTGGCCTTGAACTTGTGCTCGGAATGTGTGGTGACTTTGTGATCCACCCTGAGCTTGTTTTGCTTTGCTTGACTGGTCTTGTGACCCCTTGTTCTCCCCCACTTTGCCTATGGGGGTGTGTCAGATTTATATGACATAGCTACTGTAGGCTATAGTGGGGTAGCACATATGGGGTACAGTTTTCTAGGGTTTGCTGTTTGTACCCAACTTTCACTTAGTCATTCTCATTCCTATTTTCTTTATTCACATGGCGCGCCCCTGTTTCCTCCCATGCCAGGCATTGGTTGGGCGGCGCATTCACTGGCTGCGCCCGAGCGCTGTCCCACGCTGTCGTGTTGTGTTGGTGTCCCGGACGAGATGACGATTGGCTCGTCCGATTGTGCAGGTTCATTTGTTGGTGCGTGTGGTGCTGCTGGAGTGTTCACCGTTGATTGCTGACGCGCGGAGTCACGTTCCGCTGTGAGCATCGCAATTTCGAGCGCCGAATCTTCGAGTTGGCGCACCAGACGGTCGAGCTGCTCCTGCGTCAATGTGGCGAGCGTGAATTCGGCCATGGCGGGGGTGTCGGGCGAGCTCAGCGAGAGCCTCAGTCGTGGCCGTGCGTGCTTACGAGAGAGCACTACGAGCGGCGGTGCTGTGTCGCTGAGAGACGTCTACCCCCCCCAAAAATTGAGATAGTGGGGAAGCGAAGGTGTGGGTGCGGTCCGAGAAGAGATCGTAGGCTCTGAATACCAAGTGTTACGAGTGCAATTGAGTGAACGAACGAGAATTGCACTATCGAAGCAAGAGTACAATGAGCGAAGGCATGAGCGAAGAATATATAGCGAAACTACAGTGGTAACGGTAATGGACTGTGGTTGTCGCGCGACGGGCCTGGGACTGAGGTTGGGAAAAGTGTCGAAGCGGAGGCCCGGAGCGCGGGTTACCCGCCGAGCCGTGAGGTCGGGGTGCGACGTGCGAAGGTGGCGGGCGGATTGTCGATGCGAGGATTGCGAGTGGTAACGGTGCTGACTGTGGTGCTACAGTGCTGTACGCGTTGAGCAGGGACGCGAAGTAAGGAAAAAGAGATTTTCCTTACACGCGCCTATAACAACAGGGAGTCTGCTGTTCCTCCTCCTGACAACTTCAGGTGGGAGAAGATTCTGGCTGCTTCTTGACGAGAAAGTGGCTCCAGTTCACGCAAGCAATGGATTTCGTACTCAGCCGACAAGCTCCCCGAGCGTTGATGCTGACTTGTCGTCGTGACTCGTCACCACGCCGGTCGTCGTCGTCATCTCACAGTTGCTAGGGTTTCTGCACCAACGACCGCTACTGCAACCTGGGCGATTTTGATTATCTTCGCCAGAGTTCGCACGCTTCCCCTGAAAGTCAATCCTTCCACAGCAGAGGGTGTGATCGTGCGGAGGTCGCAATTGACTGACGGGACTCTCCAGTCACCCAAGTCAGTCAGGCAAGTATTGACAGAGTTCAGAAAGCAGTCTGTTGCGTGGATAGAGTAAATGGTTCGCATTTTGGGATACAGGAAGACTGTTGAAGCTAGGGTTTGCTCTTCAGGAGATTAGACTCGCACATTTCAGAGATACAAGAAACAGGACAGGATAGTATTTCTCAGCGAGCTCTTAGGCACTGAGCGACCCCCGTGTACTATGGCGCGTGTTCTCCTTTTTTCCGCTCTGCTAGTCGTCTCGGTGGCTCTCGTTTATGGGCAGTTTGAAGCTAGTGAGAGTCAGGGTCAGGTACGTGCTTCTGAGATAGCTTTCCCCGCTTGCACTCGTTCCATGACATCCCATCTGAACCGGCGTTTCTCTGTGTCATGACCGTTCATGTTTCAGAACTGTGGCCACTACGTTGCGTTCACACAACTTGAGGTGATTCTTACTCAGCAACACCACACCTATTGCCATCTAGTTTAGTTGCCGGCCAGTTTGCCGTCCTCACTTTCTCCTGTTGCCGTCCTCACTTTCCCCTGTTGTCATTCATACCTTTCTGTCACATCTCGTTTCTCCCTCTCCGCACTCCTCCTGCGTATGTTTCCTCTTCCACCGTGTTTGTTGCTACTCGCTTCATGATGAGTTTTTCTTCTTCTTTCAAATGTTGTGTCCTTTGTTATACATGGCAGCCTGGCAATGTCGGTGGCCTCCATCTCCGCGGAAATATCATGTTCGTCGTCGCCAACCGACTTCCGTCCGTCACTCGCATGATCGTCCACCGCTTCCCGTCGTCTATCTCTGACATTCTCAGCGACCTCCACACCAAGCCCCAAGACACGGAGGAGACTTCCGAGTCTACCGAGCCTACTGACTCTTCGGAGTCTTCCGAATCCTCAGACGAGGAGATTTCCCCTCCCGTCCCTATTGAAAACGAGGAGGATGCGTCTGCTACGGGCGGTGAATCCAGCATCGTTACCAACGTGAATCCCGAATCCTTGGATGAGGAGATTCCCTCTCCTGTCCCTATCGAAACCGACGAGGAGGATGCGTCTGCCACAGGCGGTGACTCCAGCCCCGTTACCAGCGTTTCTTCGGAAACGACTCGTGACGAAGCCACCGAGGATACCGAAACGGAAAACGTCCGGATGTTGACGGCGGAGGATGACAGCGACGCTGCCGTCACTGCCGATCCCGACTCTGACAAGGTTTCCGAGGATACCGAAACGGAAAACGTCAGAATGTTGACGGCTGAAGATGACAGCGACGCTGCCGTCACTGCCGACCCCGCCTCCGACGAGCGTCTTCCGACGGAAACAGATGATGCCGCTGCTACGAAACGCTCGGATCCTCTGGCGTCCGCGTTTGACGCGTTTGTACTCTCTCGCGATTGGACGAAGAAGCTCGACCTTGACGACCTGTTCTCCATGATTCCACCGCAGGCTCAATCCTCAAAGCATCTGCAGTTGTTCCAGGAGTTTGTAAAGGCCGCGAAGGAGTTCCAGAGCAACGCACAGACTCCTCAGGAGCAGGATGAAAGCGCGGAAAGTGGGGACTCCGAGAATGAGAGCTCGGAGAATGAGAGCTCGGAGAATGAGAGCTCGGAGGATGAGAGCTCGGAGAATGGGATCCCGGACTCTGTTGACCAGGTGGACGATGATTTAACGGAATATCTCAGCAAACTCGACAGCACGACGGCTGTTCCCGTGGACGATGAGGACTCCGCAGGTAAATTTCTTTGGAACGAATAGGGCAGAGGGGTAGGGAGGGAAAGGGTGAGGGGGGAGGAGGGGTGGGGGATGGGTGGGTGTGGGGCGGCTTAGAAAGGGTGCGTGTGCTGCTGGAAGGTGCACCAGTACTGCTTTTCTGTTCTGGTGGCCATAGAACTTCGTGCATTGTCTTGTTATAAACTTTGTCTTGCTTTTCGTCTCCAATGTGTCTGTCCATTCTAGTGTCTGTCCCTCTGTCTGCCTGTCTGCCCGGTTGCTTCCCACTCACCGCCTGCCTGCATCTATGCGCATCTATATCCGTCCACTACCACTGTTTCTTGTTTCTCACCAGTCTCAGGCGACGATGCTGAGGTGACAGTTGTGGACGACTACTTCCCCTTCCCCAACATTCTCCCCGGGTGGACCGTTGCCAACATTGTTGGCCTGGTCATTCTCGGGCTCGCCTTTGTCTTCCTGGTCACCATGATGATTCTCAGCCTCGCCTCCATTATCTACGGCTGTGCTGATCCTGAGGATGACGACTCGACCGTTCTGCTTTACGAGGACAACACCAAGACCCCCCTTCTGAAGGTGGGTTTGGGTGTCTGTGTCACTCTATGCATTTTCCATTTGTTTGTAATGTTCACATACACGCTCAGGGTACGTTCTCTGCCGGTGTCAAGTGGGCTGTCTGGAAGTTGCGAAGGGTTTGGATTTGCTTGTTGATGATGTGGCACGATCGGAGCTGTTGATAGCCTTGTGTCAGGAAAGTTGGGCCAAGAACGTACCCTTACTGTGTGATGTTTCTGCCCTGTTCCTGTTGTGGTGCTGATGAGTGTTAAGAGTCGAGGGATGTGAATTGTGTGAAGCTTCAAATTCCTTTTGACATGTTTGTCGGTGGTTGTTGTGTGGCAGTCATACGTTGTGGAGTACTCCTCACCCAGGGGACAGCATGTGAACCCAGTGGCAGTGTATGTGCCCCCCGCGGCCAAGTAGAGGGGAATTGGTTAATTTCCCGTAGGAAGTTCCTCAATAACGCTGTAGCTCTTGATAGTAGAACCACCCTTTCCATAACGACGCCAGGGTGGATTTTCCTGGGCGAACCATGGCTGGACGCTGGTTTTTTTTTCTGTACATTATTATGGGTGGTGATGTTGTGAAAACTTGCTGCTACCGGTATTATCCTGCTTATTTCACAGAAACAGCATATACAAATAATACGAAGGATTTCTTAGTAGCTTCAATGGCAGAAGTGTATCTCACCAGTTGGATTTGCTGGTAAATACTTCCGTACAACCACCCTGGGGAATCTCCTCTGGCAGCTGACCGTCACGGTTTCTATGCTTCTGACAGCGACGTCCCTAGTGATCATCGAGGAATCCACTATCCATCCAGCGAAATATTTCTTGGCGACCTGGGTTGCAGCCAAAGTTTTCTGTGTGGAATGGGGAACGATGTTGACCCATTTCACTTATTTGAACCATCAATAGCGGTTCAATGCATTCGGAAAGCCCGATGGCATGGGTTGTGGAGAATGCTTCCGCTCGTAACTTTGTCAGGCGGTTCGTGAGTCGTGGCCTGTCGATTTCTCCGCAGAGTCGTCGATCTCCCCGCAGAGTCGCTGGCTGCTTGTCACCATCGGTAATGCCGCTAACGACGTCCAGCAGAGGGAGTCAGCAGCAGCGAATCAGCGATCACGGCGAGGTTGTTCCGTCGAAGTCGACTGACCGTCGATTTCCCCGGCATGACAACAGTCAAATTCAATGAGAAGCATTCCGACGGAAAAGCATCCCGACGGATATTTCGAGAAGTTCACAAGCAGACGATGGTCTCTAGGTTTCTGTATCCCCTGACACGTGCGAGATGACATCCCGTACTCTGAACACGCGTACTGTACCGTCCCTATCAGGCACAACAGGATTACTGACAGCAGATGAAGTACGGCTCCATTCGTTCCCGTGGTGTTGACTCGCCAGGCTATGGTTCGATCGCTGCCAGGTAGCACCGAGATGGCACTGACATTGCCGGGACTTCGTGGCAGTAAATGCGTTTCAGGCTCCGTTTCAAGTGACGTTGACGTTAGACTAGTGACGTCCAGGAATTCTCCGTCAACGTCCCGCTCCGACCAGCAACATTGCTGGACGAGTTCCTTCTATGTGCGAATTGCGTTTACTCGTCCAGAACAGGTGATGTCCGCATCTGACGCGGAAACGTCGCTTACAAGACCTGTGCTATTGATCAGTCTCAACCTGAGATAACTGGCTAACGGCCATTTTGAAGCGAATCAATTCAGCTTCTCTTCAATCAGCAGGCGTGAGTTGAGTGACCGAGTCTGCTGATTGAGTGAAGTGAACGAGATAACACTTTTGTCGAGACTTCTCACGAGCCTCGTTCTTATCAGCACCACTGCCTTGTGTACAGCGAAAGGTTGTACTATACAGAATTTCCTCAAATCTCTACCTGAGCAGTGTCTTGTAAGGGAAAACTGTCTGGAGTGAGTGTGTTTTTGTTCCTGCTTTTGGCCGCTTCAGCTTTCCACCTGCGGTGCAGTGCAGTGCAGTGCGGTGCAGAGTGCATACTTCCAGATTGCTGAAGACCAGAGGGCCTTGGATGCTGGCACTGCTGGATCCTACGTAGGCCAGTCTCTGGAAAGGGTAAGGATAGCTTGCTTGCTGATGTGAAATCAGATTGGTTGATGCCAAACGCCTTGAGAGTGTAAAGTTTTGACAATTGCCTTGTTCCCGTTTCAGGAACTGCAAACACACAACGTGACACTCTGCTGCAGGAATCACATTGAAACAACGACACAAAGTTTGAGGAAACAGCAAGAAGCCAACTCAATTCTTTCCACCAGAAGTTTTCTGGCGCCATGCTGCATCTGTGAGGCTACACCATTTCGAGGAGCATTCAGACTCCATTTTCAGGCTTTTAAAAAAAGGGGAAAGCTCGTTGTGTCACCAATTGGGAACTTGACCTTCTGAGAAACAGCTGTGACTTCGGAGCGTTACCACAAGCAACATCAGTGGTGCTACCATCCTGACTTTGCATCAGCAAAGCACAAGCGGTACCATCTGCAGTACCTCCAGCAGTATCTCAGCAAATCAGCCTCTCAGCCTCCAGCATCAAGCAAGATCCCACCATGGGAGAGCCAACGCCGCCAGAGCACACGCTCGATATCCCTCCTGAAACTCCTCCACACCTTCACTACAATCACATCATCACCAACCCCTTGGGCTCTACTGATGGAGACCTAAACAGAGAGAAGGTGCAATTCGCTCCTTCAACGTTTCTGGCAGCTAATGAGCTTCCAGCTTCAGTTACCTCTCCTCCACTCGTTCCACTTTCCAGCACTCCCTCCCCAGTGTCAGCTTCTAGCGGCTATGCTCTCTCTCCTCCCCTCCTCTCTCCTTCTCTCCGCTCATCTCCTCCCTCCGCCTCCTCTCTCTGCTTCCACAACATCTCCTACTCAGTCCCCATCCGGCGCCATCCTCTAGCCTTCCTCCCTGCCATCCCCTCCCTCCGCTCCTCCACTACTCGCAGCAGCACAGCTGGAAATGCTCCCACTGATGCGCCTGCGTACACCCCTCGACGCAGTCACACTGCACACAATCACAATCAGCAGTCTGGCAAGCAGCAGCAGCTGCCGCAGCACCATCACCACCAGCAGCGGCGCAGCATTCTGCAGGGGATATCGGGGAGCGCCAAGGCAGGGCAGGTGACAGCAATCATGGGAGCCAGTGGGTCCGGCAAAACCACTCTTCTAGACATCCTCTCCCACCGCATCTCCCTCCCTTCCACACCACATCAAACGCCATCTGCACCAGAACCCCTTCCTTCACCCTCCGCCTCTCCACCTCCAGACATCCCACCCTCAATCACTGCCCTCCCAACTCTCACCACCGCCCTCTCTTCTTCAATAACTTTAACCGGAGCCCCTGTGACTCCCCTCTCCTCTTCCACCCCCGCGCTCTCCCCTTCAATAACTCTAAACGGAGATCCTGTGACTGCCAGCACCATGAGGCGGGTGTCAGCCTATGTGATGCAGGACGATCTGCTGTTCCCCGCGCTCACAGTGCGCGAGACGCTGCTGTTTGCCGCCGAGCTGAGGCTGGGGAATGACACGGTGGGGCGGAGGGATAAGGAGGAGAAGGTGGAGGGGCTGATGCGCCTGCTGGGGCTCACTCGAGTGGCGGACTCCCGAATTGGAGATGAGAACAGAAGGTACGTAAATAGAGAGGAGAGGGCAGGTGTGTTTGGGCATGGGAGGAGAAGGTGGAGGGGCTGATACGCCTGCTGGGGCTCACTCGAGTGGCGGACTCTCGGATTGGGGATGAAAACAGAAGGTACGTGAACTCTGAGGGTGTGGTGAAGCATGAGGGTGCTGGCTGGCAGGGTGGGGCGGAAGGCCAAGGAGGAGAAGGTGGAGGGGCTGATGCGCCTGCTGGGGCTCACTCGAGTGGCGGACTCTCGGCTTGGGGATGAAAACAGAAGGTATGTAAATCGAGGCACTCTCCACTCTCTTTCTCGCATTCGCTGCAACCCCTCCCTCTTCTCTCTGCAGAGGCGTGTGAGGCGGCGAGTGCAAGAGGGTGGCGATAGGGGTGGAGATGGTGAGAGACCCCACACTGGTGCTAGTAGTAACCACGGGCTGATCTTTCCCTTTGCCCTCGCCTCCTCCTCTTCCCTCCCTTCAGAGGTGTGTCAGGCGGAGAGCGCAAGAGGGTGGCGATAGGGGTTGAGATGGTGGGAGACCCCTCGCTGCTCTTCCTGGACGAGCCCACCTCTGGCCTCGACTCCACCTGTGCCTTTCACGTCGTCAAGGCTGTGAGAGACGTGGCGAGACTACGTCAAAGCATTGTACTCATGGTGCTGCATCAGGTGAGACGTCAAGCTGCGCTGCTGCAGCTGAGACGTAGAGCACCAGGTGACTCTGGAGCTGATAGCTGCTCTTTCTAGACGAGCCCACCTCTGGCCTCGACTCCACCTGTGCCTTCCACGTGGTCAAGGCAGTGAAGGACGTGGCCAGATTGCGAAGCAGCATTGTGCTCATGGTGCTGCATCAGGTGAGGCTTGGAGCAACAGCTGAGACGTAGGGCACCAGGTGATTTTGGGGCTGGTTCTTAGCCTCGACTCCACGGTCCACCTGTGCCTTCCACGTGGTCAAGGCAATGAGGGATGTATGTAAGTTCCAATGGGTAATCCAACCTGATTGTACACCCCAACCCAACCCTTCGTCCCCTTTTTTCCCCTTGTCCCCCTTGTCCCAAATGCTTCCAGCCCAGTTTCAGGGTTCTCAATCTCCTTGACAACCTCCTGCTCCTTGGATCCGGGCACACGGTTTTTTCGGGCTGCCCGTCCGAGCTGCCAGGCTACCTTACGGATTTTGGCTGCCCGGTGCCACCCTTTTCCAACCCTGTGGAATTCACGCTTGATTTGATCCAGTCGCTGCAGATTGTCGGGCAGCAGGAAGGGCAGGGAGGGCTGGGAGGGGAGAGTGGTCAGGCAGGGCAGGGAGGGCTGGGAGGATTGGGAGGTCAGGAAAGGGATAAAGTGGAGAAGGAGGAGCATGAGGGACAGGAGAGATTGAAGGGAGAACAGGAGCAGGATGTAGAGTCACAGCGTGGGGTGAAAGAGAGTGGTGAGACACAGGCCAACGGTGGTGCTGGTACACCTGGCATCCAGCGATTGGCTGAGTTCCACCAGGAATGGGTGAGAACAAAGGCTATAAGAGCAGGAGCAATGGGAACGGAGAGCAACCCTCATGAATCAGTGGAGGTTCTAGGAGCAGAGGTTGGTCAAAGTGACGGAGATGGAAAGAGGAGCAGGAGCAGCTCCTGTGTGATTGGAGATGAGAATGGGAACAGGAGCAACAGTGGGTCGGATATTCCTTCTTTGGAATTGGTTACCAGCTCCAGTAACAAGAGCACTGGGAGCACTAGTAGCACTGCGAGCATCAGCAGCACCAGCATTACCAGCAGTAGCATCACTGAACAAATAGCAGAGCAGCAGAGGGGCGATGAGAGAGAGGAGGATGAGAAGGAGGAGGTTATGGTGGAGGAAGAGGAAGGGCTGGAGGGGGAGGAAAGGCAGGGGAGTGTGAGGAGGCAGCAGGGAAAGTATGCGAACGGGTGGTGGCGGGAGCTGTGGGTGCTGACAGCGCGGTCGGCTATCGTGATCCGCCGCACGCCAGCACTGTACTTGCTGCGCCTGCTGCTTATCATGATAACGGGGCTGCTTATAGCATCACTCTTCTGGCAACCAGAGTTCAAGTGAGTCAGCCACTTGGTTCCGACTCCTTTTTCTGGTCGAATCGAAGGCTTTCCTGTCGCTCTCTCCCTCCCTCTCTCAATTTATCCATCCATCCCTCCTTATTGCCTTCTCTTCCCTCCCCCCTTGCCACACTTCCCCTCAACCACAGCACACGTGGAGTGCACGAGCGGCTGGCCTTTATTGCCTTCCTCATGTGCACGCTCTTCTTCTCCTCTGGGGATGCCACTCCGCTCTTCATACAGGTGAGTCTTGACGGTTGATTGACTCAGTTGACTTGGTTGACTCAGTCAGCTTTGTCCTCACATGCACGCTCTTTTTCTCCTCTGGAGACGCCACTCCACTCTTCACACAGGTGATTCATGGTTGACTCAGTTGACTTACTTGGTTGACTTGTTCAGCTCGGTTGACCCAGCAGACTTTGATTGCTCTCTCACCTGCTTACAATACGTCCTCCTCCTCATCCTCAGATGGCACACCCAACCAGCGGTGAAGTGCATTTGTGAGTGCAGAGTTCTTTCAGAATACCATCAGAGCTGGCCCTGATGCTGCTAGTGCTACTTCCCTCTCCAGCTCCCGATCTTTTCGCTATCTTCTCCTCCTCCTCTTCCCCGCTCCCTCCAATGCCTCCTGCCCCCCCAGGAGCGCAACATATTTGTGAGGGAGACGACGCACAACGCCTACCGCCCGTCCACCTACCTGCTGGCCTCCACGCTCGTCTACCTGCCGCTGCACCTCCTCATGTCCCTCGCCATCACCCTCGAAGCCTGGTGGTGTCTCAGTCTCACAGGAGGGGCGGCAGGGCTGGCCTTTATGGTGCTCGTGTGCTTCTGCTGCCTCTTCACTGGGAATGCCATTGCCACCTTCGTTAGTGCCACAGTCAACAAGTACGGGCCAAAAAAAAATTTCGCTTCTGTAACATGGATGATTTACCCCCTCTACCTTCTCTCTTTCTCCCTTGCTCCCTCACCTGCTTTCTTGATTCTTTATTTCCATGCTCTCCTGTTTTCCGCCTGGTGCAACATTCTTTGCCTCTATCCTTTTCCATTTTTCTTCATCATTTTCCCTTTCTCTTCCACTACCACCAACACCCACACAGTGTCATTCTCGCCTATGCTGTCGTCATCACTGTTCTGGCCAACTTTGCCCTCGTCTGCGGCTTCTATATTGAGCGAGCCAGCATACCCTCTTACTGGCTCTGGCTACACTACATATCTCCCCTGAAGTACGCTTATGAGGCGCTTGCTCTCAACGAGTTTGACCGGGTGACCTCGCTTTGTTACCTTTCTGCACGTGATATCTACTCCTCTACACCGCTCTCAGTTCTGCTCGATGAGGTGGATGTTCAAAGGTCACTCGTTGCGCTGCGCCCTGCTCTGATTGGCTCCGCGTTTGCTGAGGTGTCAACATCCACCTGTCTTCAGACAGGTCCTGAGCTGGCAGCATTCTACCTGGGCCTAACTCAGCTTGACAAATGGCACTGTGTGGCCATCCTCCTCAGTATTGGGCTTGTGTTGCGTTTTGCTCATTTCCTCCTGTTGACAAGGCTCTGCCGCTCTACACGCCACTGATGATCCAGCATTATTTTTCTAATGTCATGTTCCATTCTCTAGGGACGAATATTGATACACATTTTGATATTTGAAAAAACACCTGTTGTTTTTTCACATTATATGGTGATGTGTTTCCTTGCCACATTTATGCTGATTTGTAAGGAATTTTCTCGATATTCCTTAGCGCACCCTGCAACATCGCGTACACCAGTAGCCGTTGTTCGCCCGTTACTGCTAACGGGACTTCGCCGACTTCGCGCGCACTGTTTCACCAAACCTCGCACTGCTGGCCTGGCCGTGTCGGCCTACGCTTCGGGACTAGCCCGAGCCTCGCTTCCAGCGTAGCACTAGCTAGCTCGTACGCACCGCGTTACCGTTTGCATGTTTCGCGTATAAATGTTCGCTCATGCCTTCGCTCACATTTTGTACTCGTTTGACACCTTAGTGCAATTCTCGCTACTTCGATTCATTGCACCCGTAACACTTGGTATCAGAGCCTCTTTCTTTTCGGACCGCGCATCTCCGCACCTCAGGAAATCAACTTTTGATTTTTCACTCGAAGGGACTCACGTACCTTAGCACCTAGGAGCCGCTGTCCTCGCGTTCTCTCGTAAACGCGTGCAGCCACGACTGCGCCTAGACTAAGACGAGCCGACGCCCTTCGAAATGGCTGAACATATCGACGTCACGACTCTCACGCAGGAGCACTTGAACGATCTGCTGCGATAAATCCGCGAGAGCGCCGAGGAAATCGCGACGCTGACGGCAGAACGCTCGTCCCTGCAAAACGACCTCACACGGGCACAATCCCAAGCACCTGGCACTCCGATTCAGCCCGCACCACAGACATCACAGCACGGAAGTGTGGGGCAACCCACGAGCGCCGCAAGTGATGGCGTCGTCCGCCATGACGGAGACGACGACCACGGCACGACACACCCCGACGCGACGAACGCGGCCAGGACTCAGCATCGAGTCACGATTTCAGTGCCGGCCGGCGAATCAACTCTTCCGTCGCCGATGCCGCTAAAGCCGCAGCGCCCGCCATGCTTTGACCCAAGTCAGCGGGGTGGTCCTACCGTTCAGGCGTGGCTCTTCACGTTGAACGTTTTCTTCGACGCGAACTACGTCTCGGAGGATACGGCGAAGATTCGCTACGCCGTGTCGTTGCTGCGAGGACCCGCCATGGACTGGTGGCGCGTCATCGTCACGAAGCCGGTGGACTACACGACTCTACCGACACGGGAAGGACAAACCGGACCCTGGAAGCCGTCGTATTTCGTGGAGGTGCCCCAGTATCGCACGTGGGACGCGTGGTGCGCAGGTCTGCGCGCTCGTTTCGAGCCAATCGCGGCTTCGATCGCGGCGCGACAGAAGCTCCGCACTTGGCGCCAACTCGGTTCCGTCCAAGACTACACAAGCGGATTTCTGGCGCTATGCGAGCAGGTGGGATATATGCACGAGAGCGAGCGCATCGACCACTACATCGGCGGCCTGAAGCAGGACATCGCTCAGGAAATCCAGCTTCGCGGCGTCACCGACTTTCAAGAAATTCTCGCTATGGCGGAGAAACTTGATTTCTTCCCCCGACCGAGACCGGGGTCCTACGGAAGCAGCCATTGGGGACATCGGCCTCGTGGGACGAACGAGGGCGCCACGATACGTGCCGTCGCCGCAAATGCCGCTGCCGCACCGTTCAAAGGGCGCTGCTTTGCATGCAATCGGCCGGGACATCGCAAGAGCGAATGCCCGGAAAACGCTAAGGGAAAGGGGGAAGCTGAGCAGCAGAAACAGACCAAGCAGCAGGGAAACGCTGGGAGTCAGTAGCAGACGGGCCCTCTACTGACAGGTCACGCCGCTCGCCCGACCCAACCGACCCTCACCGAGTGATTGTGCCGGTTCACGCAATCGACCACACTCGGCTGAATAAGGAGGGGACTACGGTAGACAGCCCCATACTGCTTGGTGGGAAAATCGGGACGGACTTAGTTAAAATCTTCGTAGACGGGGGAGCCAGCCACAGCCTCATCAACACTGCTACAGCACGAAAACTGCGACTGCCACTGGACAGATGTTTACCTGAGATCGACGCAAGATTGGTAGACGGCACGCCGCTGGCAATACGGGAACGCGTAGACCGGGTTCGGATTCGATGTGGGGGTAACTTCACGTTTAGCCAGGAAATGCTCGCAACGACCCTCGACGGAACCGATATTTTACTCGGGCGTGATTGGCTGCGACGACACAATCCGCGAATCGACTGGACGACAGGTGACTGCACCGTGCGGGTGAACGGTAACAACATCGCCCTACCTCGCTGGGGCTCGCCTGAGTCTTCGTCGGTGCGTGTCAACGCAATCACGATGAAACGCGCCGTAGCGGCAGGAGCTGACGTGTACGCGGTCGACATTCGGGAAGCCGAGGCAGCAGACAAAGGAGGGGATTTACAGAAACTGCTGGCCGACGTACCGAGTGACCTTGCAGCACTGTTGAAGCAGTACAGCGACATTTTCCCGGACGATTTACCGACGGGACTGCCACCTCAGCGACCGCACGACCACAGGATAGAGTTAGAACCGGGGGCACAGCCAACAGTACAGCGACATTTCCGACTGACCCAGCCCGAACTGGACGAACTGAGGAAGCAGCTCGATTACCTGCTCGAGAAGGAATTCATTCGCCCTAGTTCGTCGCCTTTCGCAGCACCGATACTGTTCACACCGAAAAAAGACGGGGGATTTCGCATGTGCATAGACTACCGAGCACTGAACAGGGTTACCATCAAATCCCGTTACCCCATCCCGCGAGCCGACGAACTGATCGACCAACTGCGCACAGCCCGGGTTTTCTCGAAAATCGACCTCCGAGGGGGTTACCACCAGATTCGCGTCAACCCGCCCGACTGCCCTAAGACCGCATTTCGCACACGCTACGGATCCTTCGAATACACCGTCATGCCTTTCGGACTGACCAACGCCCCCGCCACCTTTCAAATGAACATGAACGAAGCTTTCCGCCCGCTCTTAGATAAGTGCGTCATAGTATACCTGGACGACATCCTGATTTACAGCCCTGACAAAGCACAGCACTTACAGGACATCGAAGCAGTTTTTAAGATACTGAGTGAGAACCGCCTACTGACAAAAGCGTCTAAGTGTGAGTTCTTACAGGACCGACTGGAGTTTTTGGGACACATTATTTCAGCTGCAGGAGTGGAAATAGACCCGAAAAAAATCGCGACGATTCAAGCGTGGCACGCGCCGACCAACTTAACCGAGTTGCAGAGTTTTTTGGGGTTCGTCAACTACGTGCGCCGGTTCGTCCCCGACATGGCGAAGCTGACTGCCCCGTTGACCGACCTGCTGAGGAAGGGGGTTGAGTACACGTGGGGGGAGAAAGAGCAAGCTGCCTTCTCGGCCCTCAAAAACATTTTGTGCTCACCGCCCGTGCTTCACATCGCCGATCCACACCGTCCGTTTGAGCTCGTCACTGACGCAAGTGACATCGCTGTGGGAGCAGTACTGTTGCAGGATTTCGGGAACGGCCTCCAGCCAATCGCGTACGAGTCCCGCAAGCTGCACCCGCCCGAACGCAACTACCCGATACACGACCGCGAAATGTTGGCGATCGTGCACGCGTTCAAGGTTTGGCGGTGTTACCTGACTGGCGCCGACGTGACAGTACGGACAGACCACCGATCACTACAGTACTTACGCGCCCAACCGAATCTCAATCCACGACAGATTCGCTGGTTGGACTACCTCGAGTCCAACTTCCACTACGCGGTTACGTACAAGAAAGGCGCATCCAACATCGCCGACGCACTCACCCGCCCTACCGCCCAACTCCACGCCATCCTACTCGCCCAGACCAACCCGCTTTTAACAGGACTATTCACCCACGGATACCGCACCGACCCATTTTTCACGACTGGAAACTCACAGCAACTGGCAGAAGCTAAAGGAGTTTATTACGTAAAAACAGGCACCAACCGCACCTGGGTACCCGCGTACTCACTACTGAGGGAGCTGCTACTGCAGGAGGCACACGACGGAATTACCTCGGGACATTTTGGGGTAGAAAAAACGCGACAGCAACTGCAGCGGTATTACTACTGGCCGGAGCTGTTGACCGACGTGCAGCAGCACGTGGGCTCGTGCCCCACGTGTCAGGTGATGAAAAGCTCGAGGAAGCGGAAGGCGGGTCAATTGCAGCCGATACCACCGCCCGAGCGCGCCTGGCAGCAGGTTACCATGGACTTCGTCACAGGGTTACCTTCGAATCCTGGGGGTAACGACGCGGTGATGGTCGTCGTTGACATGTTTACGAAGATGGCACACTTCGCTGCGTGCAAAAAGTCGATCTCAGCCGAGGAGACCGCTCGTCTGTTCATCGCAGCCGTTGTTCGCCTGCACGGGATACCAACAGCGATTATCAGCGACAGGGACACGAAGTTTACCAGCAACTTCTGGAAAAATCTCTGGGAGCAGTTCGGGACCAGGCTACAGTTCAGTTCGTCATACCACCCCGAGACCGACGGTCAAACAGAGCGGACGAATCAGACGATGGAGCAGTTGATTCGTGCCACGTGCGACGACCCCACGACTTGGGAGCAGCAGCTGCCGCTGATCGAGTTCGCGTACAATAATGCCACGTCAGCGACGACGCAGCAGTCCCCCTTCTACCGGAACTACGGGCAAAATCCTACAGTGCCCATGACGCCGAGTCTGGACAACCCAACACCACGTCCACAGCAATTCGCCGAAATTCTGCAAGCTGCCCGCACCAGAGCCGCAGAAGCAATTAAAGAGCCGCAGAAGCAATTAAAAGAGCAAACGTCATCGCTAAGCGCAACGCTGACCGCCACCGCCGCCCAGTCACATACCAGTCAGGGGATTACGTACTGCTCGGCACGCAAAATCTGCGACTGCCCGACGTACCAAAACTTCGACCGCGCTACTGTGGCCCATTCCAAATCAGCCACATGATCACGCCAGTAACCGCGCATCTACTGTTACCGACCGACTGGTACATCAGCCCTTCGTTCCATGTCAGCTTGCTTCGCCCATACATCCCAACCACAAGCCAACTGCCTCGCCACCGCCCGCCATCCATGACTCGCCCTGCATCGGAGCCGATCATCGCGCCCGAAAAGATCCCGAGCCATCGGATTCGACACCCCACGGGAATCAAGAGGATTGAATTCCTCGTTCGCTGGAAGGATCGCACGCCAACTGAGGACAGCTGGGTGCCCCTGGCCAACATCGGAAACCACCCTGCCCTGCAAGTGTACCTGAGGAGCCGGGGCTTCCGCGATATACACGCACTCGCGTAGCGGAGGGGGCTTCTTGAGGGGGGGGGGGGGGTAGTGTAAGGAATTTTCTCGATATTCCTTAGCGCACCCTGCAAAATCGCGTACAGCAGCAACCGTTGTTCGCCCGTTACTGCTAACGGGGCTTCGCCGACTTCGCGCGCACTGTTTCACCAAACCTCGCACTGCTGGCCTAGCCGTGTCGGCCTACGCTTCGGGACTAGCCCGAGCCTCGCTTCCAGCGTAGCACTAGCTAGCTCGCACGCACCGCGTTACCGTTTGCATGTTTCGCGTATAAATGTTCGCTCATGCCTTCGCTCACATTTTGTACTCGTTTGACACCTTAGTGCAATTCTCGCTACTTCGATTCATTGCACCCGTAACATGATTCGATATCCTATAATAAGGTTACTGTAGCATCTTCGCGCCACGAACATCGTCTGTCAGTGGAAATCGCCAACAACCTTTCCGTGCCCTTGGAGGGACCGTTTTCCCGCCAATCCGTCAAGCTGTGCCGCTACTAGCCTCTCCTTTGTACTGTAACAAGCCTGTCAAATTCATGATTTCCCTTGCGTTTTCGCGTTTGGGCTTCCATTTTCCCCACCTTGGAAGTGTCGCCAGAAAGCCTAGAAAGTGTCATGTCAAACCATCGCCATCACCATCACAACAGATTACGGTGGCCTTTTTCATGCTTGCAGTCCTAGGCTCTAAGTTTTCGGGTCTGGGTAGGAGGGTAGAGTAGTCCGACATTCATTGATCTTCGTCGCGCGCCGACTTTGTCGAAGCTCGTTTTACGGTATATTGTCAGCTGAACTTTCAGAGTGGTAGACTCCCTAATCCTGACGGAGTTTCGAAGCTTTTGGCTCACGGAGATTCCCGAGGCTGATGGACCTGCCGTAGACCGTTGCCGAGGCGTACCGATCAAATCTTGACTCAACTGCTTGCCGGTATAATAAGGTAGAATCAAGGTTTTCTGCCTGCAGCAGCAGCAGCAGCCATGGATTGGTTCTCGGCTCAGGTGACGTCGCTCGGGCTGGGAGAGCTCCCGGACATTGCGGGTGCGGTGAACAAGCTGAGCGAAACGGTTATGAACATCGACACATCGGGATTCGACGGCGGACTGGGTCTCGACTTCCTCCCTCCTGTCATCGAAGGTTTGAACCCTCGCTATCAGGCCTTCGATTCGATCATTCGCGATTTGATAGACTGTTACGCTGGTTTTGGTGATTTAAGAGTTGAATGACAACAAATGGCGTTTGTATTCTTCGCACTGTAGCTGATTTAGGATGCAGGTATGTGGTCCGATGAGCTAAGCTCGGTCACCGTAAGTTTTTTTTCCTGCAAAACGACCTGAATATTTCCTATTCGAATCGTCATTTTCCGCAGACGCAGTTGCGGAAAACTGCTTCCCCTTCCCTTAAGGCTCATGATGCTTCAATCTTAGCCCGTATTGATCCTGGCTCTAAATTCTGTACTTCCGATGCTTCTCTGCTTGATGCTCTTGTAACGTATTCCGTACTTATTGTCTGCCGAATTTCATCCTGCCGTGTTGGAATTTGTTCCGTCTTTCTGGTCCTCTCGTTTCCTCCCATACCTCTCTTCATCTCTCCGTACGCATTTCAGACAAGCCAGCCGCGAGCTCGTCCTCTCAGGCGACCAAGCCTAGAGGAGCCACAGATGGGGGCGTATTGCTCCCTCTCCTTCCACGTTTCTGATTCTATCCTTTTTCTCCCGTACCTCCCATCATATTTTCCCACGCTTTTCAGACAAGCCAGCGGCGAGCTCGTCCTCTCAGGCGACCAAGCCCAGAGCAACCACAGATGGCGCTCGAACTGCTGCCGCTCCCCCCACATATCTGATTCTCTCCTTTCCACCCGTATCTCCCATCATATTATCCCACGCACTTTCAGACAAGCCAGCGGCGAGCTCGTCCTCTCAGACGGCCAAGCCCAGAGCAACCACAGATGGGGCTCGAAATGCTCCCGCTCCTCCCACAGCCACCGCTCGAGCTTCTGCTCCTGCCGCCGCTCCTACCGCCGCTTTTCCAGCGAAAGATAAGGTCCAGGAGGCGGCAGTAGGCTCCAAGACTCCTGAGAAAGCAGCGTCAAAACCTGTCACTGGGACAGCTGAAGCGTCCCCGGCGAGATCGGCTTCAACGGCTGAAAATGCATCGGCAGCAGCAGGAGGAGGAGGCTCAGCAGCAGGGAATTTGGTGAAGGGAAAGGAAGCAGAGGCGAAGTCGGCAGTGGGTGGAGGTGCGAAACCGGAGGGTAAGCTTGGAGCGAAGAAGCTGGGAGCTAGCAAGTTGACTCGGCCCCTGCGGCCTACTCTTAAGAGTACTGCCTCTTCTGCTGCACCTGCTGCCGCTACTGATACTGCTGCTGCTTCTGCAATCGGGTCACAAGGGGCTGCGGCCGCTGAGGCCGTGGCTGATGGTAAAGTCAGTGAGGGGAAGGACGAAGTGGTAAAGGAGGAGGAGAAGGTGGAGAAGGAGAAGAAAGCGGAGAAGAAACCGACCAAGATAGTGAAGCTCGTCAAAGGGAAGCTGACCAAGCCACAGGCTGAGGCCGAAGCAGCAGCAACAGCAGGAGCAGGCGGTGAGTCTACCTTAGTGCCATCTGCAGCTGCACCTATCGTCTCACCAGCCTTGGATACCCCATCTGTGATTGCAGCAGGAGACGCAGCAGCAGCGCCAGTGGCTTCACCAGGAGTTGACGCTTCTGTCCAGATTGCCTCATCAGCAGCGGTAGCAAACCAGGAGGTGTCAAGCGGTGCTGTGGATGGGGCAGGTGTCGTTGCGAAGGTAGAAGAGGGCGAGGAGGGAGGAGCAGGGTGGGCGATAGACGAGGTGTTACCTGGTAACCAGGCCACGGTTCCTGCCAGTCCTCGTCTGGGCGACAAGCCGGATGCTGAATCAGCAACCTCTGCCCCCGAGCCTGTTGCTGCAGCTACGGCTGAAGCTGTTGCCGAATCGGAGGTTGAGGAAGAGCCCAAACCTACACCAGGTTCGGCAGAAGGCGAAGCTGTTGCAGGAATGGGAGCGTTTCAGGCAGAGGAAGGGGAGGGGTGGGCGGCAGTAATTGAAGAAGAAGATATTGTAACGAATGGGGGAGAAGCAGCTTTCCCTGGTACAGATGCTGGATCGAGAGATGGCTTTAAGAAGTCAGAGGACGCTGCAGCAGGGGATGACGCTGCAGGTGCTGCTGGTTCTGCCGCGGGTGTATCTGCAGACAGTGCTGCTGTTGATGCTGGTGCTGGGGCAGGTACTGGGGCAGGTGATGACGGTGCCTCAGCTGCTGTGGCAGCAGCTAATGCTTCGTCCACGCCTCTGCCGTTCAGCGGGTTTGAAGCAGCCTCAGAGGCCGTTTTCAGCATAGATGATGGGGAAGGGGACGGGGAGGAGGACGGGGAGGGTGCCCCTGCGCCATCCCCTGTCAAACCCTCCCTGTCACCACCAGTTAGGTCACCAGTCCAGTCGCCAGTCAAGTCACCAGTCAAACCACCTGTCAGATGGGCTGCTTCGGAAGTCGAGGCAGCAGCAGGTGACGAAGCAGCTGCAGAAAGGGAGCCCGCAGTTGACAGCGGTGCTGCTGCTTCTGAAGGAGGCGAACACGGCTGTGAAGCTGCTGTGCAGACGAGTGAAGAGGAGACAAGGTCTTTGAATCAGGAATCAGGGGCAGAGGAGGAGAAAGTGGTAACGCAGATTGATGTAGAAGCGGAGGCAGATTCGGGGGAGGCAGATTCAGGGGAGGTGGGCTTAGGGAAGGTAGACCCAGGGAAGACACATGCAGGGGAGGGGGCAGATGTGCCGTCCGAAGAAAGACTCGTGCCTGCTGCTCCAGCTGCTGCTGAAGGTGCTGAAGCTGCCGCAGCAGCAGCTGCTGCTGAAACTGCTACCGCTGTTGCTGCTGAAGCTGCTGCTGCTCAAGAGGGAGTGGAAGGAGCGTGGGGAGAACGAGGGCGCTCTGCTGCTGGGAATGGCCTTGTGAACGAGCAGCATCCAGTGAGTCCATTTGAGAAAATGGGTGCAGCAGAGAAAGCGGGTGCAGCTGGTACGGATGGGAATGGATGGGCTGTGGGCAGCGGTAGGGCTGAGGAGGAGGCGGTTCCTGCTGGTGATGCTCCTGGGGAGGAGGTGGCGCCTGGGGTGGTGGTCAATGGGGAGGGTGTACAAGGCACAGCAGGTGCAGGGGCAGGGGAAGCAGCAGCAGGCGCGGTTGCCTTACTGGATGCAGCAGCGGCAGAGATGGTGGGAAGCAATACAGCAGCATCGGTTGAGGCTGGTTCTGCTGCTGCTGCTGCTGCTGCTGCTGCTGCTGTGTCTGTGGCTGAGAATATTTCAGACGCTGGTGCAACGGAGGCAAGGGGAGCGAATGAGAGTGAAGGTTCCGACGGAGCAGCAGCAGCAGCAGCAGAGGCAGCAGAGGCAGTGCCTGCTGAAAAACCGCCACCAGAAGCTGCTGCTGCAGAAAAAGGTTCTTCCGTTGAACAGGCAGCGACTGTCGCAGCAGTAGCAGCAGAAGGGGAAGCGCTGTCTGCTGAAACGGCAACAGCAGCAGCAGCAGCAGTGGCAGCAGCAGAAGCCCTATCCACAGAGAAGGCATCATCAGCTGCAGCGGCAGCAGTGGCAGAGGCTCTCTCGTCCGAGCTTCAAGCGGAGTTGGTGAGAGTGAAGATGGAGCTGGCAACCATGGAGAGTGCCCTGCAGAATGCGGGCAAGCAGGCACAGACCAAGGCGGACGAACTGGCGAGAGCCATGACTGTGAATGATGAGCTTCGGGCCGAGCTGGAGGACTGGAAGGTGAGAGTGGGGCAGGGTCTATGCGAGGTTGGAAGTGAAGAAGGAGGAGTTGTTTGTCGTGTAGAGAGTGAGCTTCAAGCGGAGGTCGTGAGAGTTGGTGGGTCATGCTAGAGAGTGGTGAGAGTGGTGAGAGTGGTGAGAGTGGTGAGGGTAGTGAGAGTGAAGATGGAACTGGCAACCATGGAGAGTGCACTGCAGAATGCGGGCAAGCAGGCACAGACCAAGGTGGACGAACTGGCGAGAGCGATGACTGTGAATGATGAGCTTCGGGCTGAGCTTGAAGATTAGAAGGTGAGCGACTGGGCAAGTGGTTTGCAGAATGCGGGCAGGCAGGCACAGACCAAGGCGGACGAGCTGGTGAGAGCGATGACTGTGAATGATGAGCTTCGGGCCGAATCGGAGGACTGAAAGGAGAGGCTCGGAATAGGCTCGGAGAATGGTCAAGAGTTTGTCCTCTCCCCCCCCTCCTCACCCCCTCTCCTCTTCCACCACCCCACACCTTTCCCTTAACATCTCCTCCTACCTCCTCACCCTTCCATACTGTTTTGCTTTCCAGTACTATTGAGATTGATTAAAATTGTACCCCTTTGTTGTGCCTGTTTCCCCCCACCTTCGCTTCTGTTATTATTCACTCGGGCAGGCAAAAAAGAACAATGACGCGGAACTAGAAGCCCTACGGGAGGAGTACCAGCACCGACTGGGGGCAGCTGAAAGAAAGGTGGGTGCTGGGCTGGGCAGCTTCCGTTTCTATCCATGTAACCCTTCTGATGTAATGCGTGGTAGTTGCTTTTGAGTCAAACTCAAAAACACCCTCATTCCATGTAATTCTCGTGATGTAATGCATTGCATTTGCTTTTTAGTCGACTCAAAAGCAGTCTATCTATGTAATCCTTGTGATGTAACGCGTTGTATTTTATGTGTCAACTAAGTGGCGTTGATTTCGCAACTCCCACAAATGCACCGCACTCACACGTGTGTAACCAGTAACCACCTTTTCTCCTTCCAGGTGTATGCGCTGACCAAGGAGCGGGACATGCTGCGGCGGGAGCAGAGCCGCAAGGCTGAGTGCCCTTGATTCGCCAAGTGCCAGCTGAAGCACCCCTCCCAACCCTGTATCTGTGCACGCCTTTTCTCCGTCCAGGTGTACGCGCTGACCAAGGAGCGGGACATGCTGCGGCGGGAGCAGAGCCGCAAGGCTGAATCAGTGGCACTCCCTTAACATCCGTACTACTCATATACTTGCTACACGTACCACTTTTCCACACTCCAGGTGTATGCGCTGACCAAGGAGCGGGACATGCTGCGGCGGGAGCAGAGCCGCAAGGCGGACACATCGACGCTGCTGAAGGAGAAGGATGAGATTATTCGGCAGGTCATGGCTGAAGGTGGGTGGCTTTTGATGCACCGAAAACACAAGGGGGTCTGGAACGTGGGTGTATGTAAGGGGGCCAGTCACAGTGCGAGATGGTAGGGGAGGGGAGGTGCTGTGCGTTCATGTGCTGAAGGAGAAGGATGAGACCATTCGGCAGGTCATGGCGGAAGGTGGGTGGGTTTGACTCCTACACGCAGAACCATGCCCACATGAGTGGCTTCTCAATGCCCTCAATCATGCCATCTGTGCTCCTCTATGCGCGAAAATGAGTGAAATGAAAACTGCAGCCCGTGCATCTCCCTCTCACCCGCTCACATGTTCTGCCATGCTTCTTTCAGTGACACGTGGCTATTGCTGTGTGATCCACGTGTCACTGCGCAGGCGAGGAACTTTCCAAGAAGCAGGCTGCGCAGGAAGGGGCCATGAAGAAGCTCCGCACTCAGGTAGGTGCACAGAAGCTTCCTCTCCCTTGCCAGTTCTGAATGCCGAGTGCTTTTTCTCCTGCACTCAGATGCCAACTAGGTGATAAGTTTCTCCTCGCACCCAAAAGAAGGTGGGTGGGTTCTCCCAGCCCCTGTTCCTCCTCGCACTTCTCCCGATCTCTTCTTCTTTATTCTGCTTTGCGTCTCTATTACTCTTTGCAACTGCAAGAGTTGGAGGTGCAGGAGGCGTGTCTGTTCTGTTGTCCGTGCTCCAAGTGCAAGAGGCTCGAGTGGAGCGACAAGTATAGAAAAAAACTTCCTTTTCCCATTCCTTGCTTCGCCTTGCTCTCTTCCCCTCGTTTCCCTCCTTTCAGCTCCGGGAGATGGAGGAGGAGAGGACCCGGCTACAAAATCGCCTGCAGGTGGAAGAGGCTCGAGTGGAGAGCATCAAGAAAGACAAGTTTCCCTTGGAGCCCTGTTTTTCCTTGCTCTAATACGCTACCTTTCTCTTCCTTTCAGCTCCGGGAGATGGAGGAGGAAAGGACCCGGCTACAAAATCGGCTCCAGGTGGAAGAGGCTCGAGTGGAGAGCATCAAGAAAGACGGACAAGTTTTGTGATTTGCCCCACTCTCTTTTCCTTCTTTCCCTCCTTTCAGCTCCGGGAGATGGAGGAGGAGAGGACCCGGCTACAAAATCGGCTGCAGGTGGAGGAGGCTCGAGTGGAGAGCATCAAGAAAGACAAAGCCGCCACCGAAAAGGCCCTCCAAGACGCAGTAGAGCGCGGGCAGGCAGACCTCGCCGCCCAAAAAGACTTCTACGTTTCTGCCCTTTCAGCTGCCCGGGAGGCGCAGGCAGCAGCCGAGGCGCGGGCGGACAGCGAGGCAAAGGCGGAGGCGGAGAGAAAGTTGAAGGAGGCGGGGGAGAGGGAGAGGGCGCTGGTGATGACTGTGGAGGAGCTCAGACAGGCTCTCACAAGGAGCGAGCAGCAGGCAGGGTTTCGAGAGCAGATGCTGCGGCGGGATCTTGAGGATATGGAGAAGCGATGCCAGGTGGGTTTGAAAACACTCTCCCTCACCCGCTCTCACCGCCCTTTGAGGATGTGAAGAAATGGTGCCAGGCAGGTGAGTTGGGAAGCAAGGCAGAGGCGGAGAGGAGGTTGAAGGAGGCGGGGGAGAGGGAGAGGGCGCTTGTGATGACTGTGGAGGAGCTCAGACAGGCTCTCACAAGGAGCGAACAGCAGGCAGGGTTCCGAGAGCAGATGCTGCGGAGGGACCTTGAGGATATGGAGAAGAGGTGTCAGGTGCGTGGAAAGATTCTCTGTCTGTCTCTCCCTCAACCGTTCTCAACCCTTGAAAATATGGAGAAGCGGTGCCAGGCAGGTGAGTTGAGAGGCAAAGGCAGAGGCGGGGAGGAGGTTGAGGGAGGCGGGGGAGAGGGAGAGGGCGCTGGTGATGACTGTGGAGGAGCTCAGACAGGCTCCCACAAGGAGCGAGCAGCAGGCAGGGTTTCGGGAGCAGATGCTGCGGAGGGACCTGGAGGACATGGAGAAGCGATGCCAGGTGGGTTTGAAAACACTCTCCCTCACCCGCTCTCACCCCACTTTGAGGACATGGAGAAATGGTGCCAACCAGGTGAGTTGAGAAGCAAAGGCGGAGGCAGAGAGGAAGTTGAGGGAGGCGGGGGAGAGGGAGAGGGCGCTGGTGATGACTGTGGAGGAGCTCAGACAGGCTCTCACGCGGAGCGAGCAGCAGGCAGGGTTCCGCGAGCAGATGCTGAGAAGGGACCTCGAGGACATGGAGAAGCGATGCCAGGTGAGTGGAGATTGCACTGAAGTATCTTATACGGGGTGAGCAGCAGGCAGGGTTCCGCGAGCAGATTCTGCGGAGGGATCTGGAGGACATGGAGAAGAGATGTCGGGTGAGTTGAATACCTCTTGAGAACACCAGCGTGATTGGGAGCAGGTGCTGGAGAAAAGAGGAATCTGTGGTATGTGACTCAGAATCATTGCTGCCTTCTCCTGTTTCCTCCCTCCTGCTATCAAACTCCTTTTTCGCTCCCCTGTACCCGTTCCTCCCCCCCGAGCCAGGCAGCGGAGGCTCGGCACGAGGAGCTGGTGGCTCGGATACCAGAGTCGACCCGCCCGCTGCTGCGGCAGATAGAGGCGATGCAGGAGTCGGCCAACACGCGCATGGAGGCCCTCTCAGGGGTGGAGCGGGCGCTGAACGCCCGACTGCAGGTGCGGATGAGAAAGAATTCCTGTGGTATGCCCGGTATGTATGTGTGTGACTGTGGGTACATGACTCGGTGAAGGCCCGCTGCTGCTGCGGCAGATAGAGGCGATGCAGGAGTCGGCCAACACACGCATGGAGGCGCTGTCCGGGGTGGAGAGGGCACTGAATGCGCGGCTGCAGGTACTTGTGTGGTTGTTGGCTGGGGTGTGCTTGTGCTTGTGTGACTGTTGGGGCAGATAGAGGCGATGCAGGAGTCAGCCAACACACGCATGGAGGCGCTCTCAGGGGTGGAGCGGGCGCTCAATGCCTGGCTGCAGGTGTGTTGTGTGTGCTGTTGTGATACGGGGTGTGCTTGTGGTCATAGGGTGACTGTAGCGATGAAAGGAACGGGCCAACCCGCACATGGAGGCGCTCTCAGGGGTGGAAAGGGCACTCAATGCCCGGCTGCAGGTGTGTAGTGTGTGTGGTTGTGGGTATGAACAGCGTGACTCTGCCTGAAAATACGTTGTGGCAGATAGATAGAGGCGATGCATCTGCTCTCCTTCTTTCACACACTCTCCCTGGCTTTTTCACCAACCCCCCCACTTCCAGGAAGCAGAGGCGAATGCGGCAGTTGTGGAGGAGAGGGAGCAGAGAACAGGAGTGATTTTTTAGAATTCTCAAAAATCACGAGCAGAGAACAGGAGTGATTTTTTAGAATTCTCAAAAATCACGAGCAGAGAACAGGAGGGAAGCGGGTGACGAGGGAAGCGGGTGACGAGGGAAGCGGGTGACGAGGGAAGCGGGTGACGAGGGAAGCGGGTGACGAGGGAAGCGGGTGACGAGTGGGACTACCCAAGCCTGAGTCCCCTCGCATGATTTTGCTGGGTGCCCTTTCCGACGACCTCTCCCCTTTTCCAGGAGGCAGAGGCGAAGGCGGCAGTAGTGGAGGAGAGGGAGCGGGTGAGGCTGACTCGCTCCCTGAAATGCCTCGTCCTAAGCTGAGAGAGCTGACTCCCAACCTCCCCCACACCTCCCCTTTTCCAGGAGGCAGAGGCGAAGGCGGCAGTGGGAGAGGAGAGGGAGCGGGTGACGAGTGAGAGTCTTCAAGGCTGAGTCCCTCCTTCAGATGCCTCATCCTGAGCTGAGATCGCGGGGTCCCAACCTCTTTTCCACCGCTCCACCCTCTTTCAGGAGGCAGAGGCGAAGGCGGCAGTGGGAGAGGAGAGGGAGCGGGTGACGAGCGAGAGAGGCCCCTCACAAGCCTTTTTTCACCCTCTTACACTAACAACTTCCCTCTTTCCCACTGCCTTACCCCCTTTCAGGAGGCAGAGGCGAAGGCGGCAGTGGCGGAGGAGAGGGAGCGGGTGACGAGCGAGCGGCTGAACCAGACGCTGTCCCGCCTGGCAGTCATGGAAGCCCAGCTCTCCTGCCTGCGCGCCGAGCACTCCCAGCTCTCCCGCTCCCTCGATAAGGAGCGCCAGCGCGCCGCAGAGAACTGGAGAAAGAGAGAATCTGATCGCCTTGTAATTTCTCCGTCTTCTCGTCCCTCTTTTCCACGGATTCTCCCTATTCCCCCCCGTTCAGGAGGCAGAGGCGAAAGCGGCAGTGGCGGAGGAGAGGGAGCGGGTGACGAGCGAGCGGCTGAACCAAACGCTGTCCCGCCTGGCAGTCATGGAAGCCCAGCTCTCCTGCCTGCGTGCCGAGCACTCCCAGCTCTCCCGCTCCCTCGATAAGGAGCGCCAGCGCGCCGCAGAGAACTGGAGAAAGAGAGAATCTGATCGCCTTGTAATTTCTCCGTCTTCTCGTCCCTCTTTTCCACGGATTCTCCCTATTCCCCCCCGTTCAGGAGGCAGAGGCGAAAGCGGCAGTGGCGGAGGAGAGGGAGCGGGTGACGAGCGAGCGGCTGAACCAAACTCTCTCCCGCCTAGCAGTCATGGAAGCCCAGCTCTCCTGCCTGCGCGCCGAGCACTCCCAGCTCTCCCGCTCCCTCGACAAGGAGCGCCAGCGGGCGGCAGAGAACAGGACGGAGTATCTGAGTGCGCAGGAGGTGAAGGTTGCAGCGGAAGGGCGGGTGAAAGTGGTGGAGGAGGAGTTGAGGGAGGTGAAGGGGCGGTGGCGGAAAGAAGTGCAGGAGGAACGGCAGCGGAGGGAGCTGGTTGAACAGGTGAGTTCAGTGGTGCTGAAAAACACTTGAAAGTCACCTCACTTGAAAAACACTTGAAAGTCACCTCACTTTGAGCAGGTGGGTGAGTAAAGGTGGCAGAGAACAGGACGGAGTATGTGAGTGCGCAGGAGGCGAAGGTCGCGGCGGAAGGGAGGGTGAAGGTGGTGGAGGAGGAGTTGAGGGAGGTGAAGGGGCAGTGGCGGAAGGAGGTGCGGGAGGAACGGCAGCGGAGGGAGTTGGTTGAACAGGTGAGTTCAGTGGTGTTGAGATTGGTTTAGTCAGGTAGCAGGGAGGGAGGTGAAGGGAGGGTGAAGGTGGTGGGAGGAGGAGGAGTTGAGGGAGGTGAAGGGGCGGTGGCGGAAGTGCAGGAGGAACGGCAGAGGAGGGAGTTGGTTGAACAGGTGAGTTCAGTGGTGTTAAGAGCGGTTCAATCAGGTACCAGGAGGGGGGGGTTCAATCAGGTAGCAGCGAGGTAAAGGCGCAGTGGCGGAAGGAGGTGCAGGAGGAGCGGCAGAGGAGGGAGCGTGTAGAGCAGGTGAGTTCAGTGGTGCTGAAAAGGCTTCAGACTCATCTCAATCTGAGCTGGTGACTAAGGGTGTGTTCACCACTCTAGTGGCCGTGAACTTTGACGATTAAGCTCAACTGTCTCCTCACTCCCCGCGCTTGTTCCGTTTCTGCCCGTGCTTGTTCTTCCCTCAGGAGTTGGAGAGCGAGCGGGCATCCATGGCGGAGCACGAGAGGAAGATTCGGGCAGAGGGACGGGCTGCAGCAGAGAAGGCACTTGTCGCAGCGCATGCAGCAGCGGGTTCCTCGTACCCTGAGCTCTCAGGTGAGTTGTGCCTGCCAGCCAGCTCCTGGGTCAACCTTACCCGCCTGCCCACTGGTCGCTGGTAGCAGCCCATGCAGCAGCGGGCTCTTCCTACCCCGAGCTCTCAGGTCAGTCCTGCTCTTCAAGTCATTCCGAAGCGGATCGTGCAGTGTAGCGTGTGGGTCAAGTGGTGGGGGGGACAGCTCTTTGAAGGGGCGGGCTGCAGCAGAGAGAAGGCACTAGTCGTAGCCCATGATGCATCAGGCTCCGACCATGGAGCTCGACATACCCCGAGCTAGTTTTGAGGCGCCTCAAAACATGATGCAGCAGGCTCCGACCATGGAGCTCGAAATACCCTGAGCTCTCTGGTCAGTCCTGCTTGCCAGTCGATAGGTTACTCCTGATTCCTCCCTCCCGCTCCCTCCCCACTTCTCTCCACCCCTCTCCACCCCTCCCCACCCACACCCAGTCCATCAAGCCTTGAAACGATTCCCCAGCAGCAGCAGTGCCATCGAGGAGGCAACAGCCTCGGGCATCCTCGCTTGTTCTCTAACACCTCCACGCATCCCTCTTCACCCCTCTCCACCCCTCTCTTCCATCCAGTGCGCCAGTCCCTCCGCCGGGTCCCCAGCAGCAGCAGCGCAGACAGCAGCACCATCGAGGAGGCAACAGCGTCGGGCATCCTCGCGGCTTCGCTGCTCCCTGGAGGCTCCTCCTCCCACTCCGACCTCCTCTCAGGAGCGATAATCGATGGCTCAACCCCTTTGCTTCCTGCACCCTGCCCTCCCCCTGCCTCCTGCTCCCTCCGCACCCCTCTCCACCCCTCTCCACCGTCTCCTTGCTGTGCAGTCCGCCAGTCGCTGCGTCGGGTCCCCAGCAGCAGCAGCGCGGGCAGCAGCGCCATCGAGGAGGCAACAGCGTCGGGCATCCTCGCGGCCTCGCTGCTCCCTGGAGGCTCCTCCTCCCACTCCGACCTCCTCTCAGGAGCGATAATCGATGGCTCAACCCCTTTGCTTCCTGCACCCTGCCCTCCCCCTGCCTCCTGCTCCCTCCGCACCCCTCTCCACCCCTCTCCACCGTCTCCTTGCTGTGCAGTCCGCCAGTCGCTGCGTCGGGTCCCCAGCAGCAGCAGCGCGGGCAGCAGCGCCATCGAGGAGGCAACAGCGTCGGGCATCCTCGCGGCCTCGCTGCTCCCTGGAGGCTCCTCCTCCCACTCCGACCTCCTCTCAGGGGCGATTATCGGCGGCACCAGCAGCAGCGGCGGCGGGGGGGGCGGGGGGTTTGGGATGCTTGGTGCCAGTTCTTCTATGGGGGCGTTGGGGGGAGGAATGGGGACGCCTGTGGGGATGGGGTATGGAGGGGCGAGTGGTGGAGGTCTGCTGAGGCCCAGTGCTGCGAATGCTGCGACTGTGGAGCATTTGGAGTCGCTGCTGAGACAGAAGGATGGAGAAATCGCCACGCACACCGCGAGGCTGGTATGTGAGACTTGTCTGGTGCTCATACGTAGGTGTTGGCGCTGCTGTGCTGGTGGAGCATTTGGAGTCGCTGCTGAGGCAGAAGGATGGAGAAATCGCCACACACACTGCGAGACTGGTTAATGCCCTGGTTGGATGGGATTCAACTGCCTCGTGATACTGGTCGAAGTGGAAGAGTGCTGCTTTTGGTGTGCAAGTCTGCACCATGCATTGATGTAACCATCAGTCCACCCGTCGCCCATCTCCTCTCCTCTCTGCCCATCAGGCCGCCCTAGAAAGCACATGTGACTCACTAGCAGAGGGACTGGTAAAGACCACGACGCAGTGTGAGAGCCTTCAGCCAAGTGACTCAGCTGCCTCGGAGCTGGAGGCTATCCGGCATGACTCAAAGCCAGCCCACCCCTGCCCCCTCTCTTCTCCCTTGCTTTATTCTTCTTATCAGGCCGCACTGGAAAGCACGCGGGATTCGCTGGCTGAAGAGCTGGTTAAGACCACAACACAGTGTGAGAGCCTGCGGAGTGAGGTGACTCAGCTGCCTGGACTCAAGGCAGAGCTGGAGGCCATCAGGAGGCGGCATGCTTCTGCTCTGGAGCTGATGGGGGAGAGAGACGAGCAGGTGAGAGGGGGGGATGAGGGAGGGGAGAAGGTAGGGGATATAAGGAGAGGCAGAGGCAGAGAGGCCGACAAGGAGGTTTATAGAAGAAAGAATTGGGCTCAAGGCAGAGCTGGAAGCGATCAGGAGGCGGCATGCGTCTGCCCTGGAGCTCATGGGGGAGAGAGACGAGCAGGTGAGAGCCATATGAAGGGTTGTGACATATACATGCATGCCTGGAACCTGGAGGAGCTGTGGGTAGGCCTGATGGATGTGACGGCATTAGTGGTGGTGGCAGAAGGGAGTGGCCACCCACCACTGGTGGTTATATAACACCATGTATGTGTGTCTCACTGCTTTTGAGGCGCCTCAAAAGTCACCACTGGTGGTTATATAACACCATGTATGTGTGTGTCTCACTGCTTTTGTGTGTGGAATGTGGATGGTGGATGGTGGATGGTGCATGGCAGGTGGAGGAGCTGAGGGCGGACCTGATGGATGTGAAGGCAAGAGGAGTGATAATGGTGGGGAGTGACATGTCATTGTATCCCTGTGTCTCACTGCTGCTGCTTGTGGTGCATGGCAGGTGGAGGAGCTGAGGGCAGACCTGATGGATGTGAAGGCGCATTGGTTGATGAGGGCGAGGAGTGACGATGTATTCTGTGTTTTGCCATCTTGTGCTTGTGCTGCATGGCAGGTGGAGGAGCTGAGGGCCGACCTGATGGATGTGAAGCAGATGTATCGCGAGCAGATTGACATGCTGGTTGATCAGGTGAGGAGGGAGATGGGGGGAAGGGATGATGTGAGATACAAATGATGTGACATGATGCGTTTTGGCATGGCCTGGCATGGCATGATGGACGTGAAGCAGATGTATCACGAGCAGATCGACATGCTGGTTGATCAGGTGAGGAGGGAGATGGGGGGAAGGGGGTGATGGCATAATGTTGTGTGGCATGATACAGTGTTGGCAGGGCATCGCATGGCATGGAATGCAAGGGCATGGGTGTGAAGCAGATGTATTGCGAGCAGATCGACATGCTGGTGGATCAGGTGAGGAGGGAGATGGGGGGAATGAAAGGCGGGGTGAATGACGGGATAAGCATGACATAACATGTCGACTGTGACATGGCATGGATGCGAGCAAATCGACATGCTGTTGGATCAGGTGAGAGAGGGAGGGGAAGGGGGTGATAGGGAAATGCAATTCGATATTGTGGCATGCTCGGCATAAGGCATGGCATGGCATGGCATCGATACCGCAGATGTATGGGGATGCAGGGCGTTGCAAGACTGGGCATGGCGTGAGATGTGCTCATATATTGCGCCTGTGCGCTAGGGCACCATTTGCGCCGTTTATCAAACTCTAGTTCAGTTTCAATTCTAATTCCATTATATTTTATAAACCTTGTTCCTGCGCAGATTCAGAAGCTTGGGAAGGAGATGCATGGGGGCAGCTAAGTAATACTGGGGAACTTCACATACAGCTGGATAAGTTTTTCAATATTATTTCCCCTCGTATTTGTGACAGCTTTCTTTACGGTTGTGTTCAATCAAGTCAGGTGCGAAGAGAATGGTTGAATGTTGTTTCAAATCAAGACTGTCAATTACACATTTGAAGACTACAAGACAGTGAATGAGGGCACCTAGTTTCTTAGAATGAAGCAAGTTGTAACGCAGTGCTTTGTGGTTTATCTTCGTTTGCTGCGACGAACAACCTTTTCGATGGCGGAGCCTGAGCCGTTAGATCCGGTAGAGACTAATTTCGCGTGTCGAAGTCTCCCGAGCATGCTATGCGACAGGTTACCACATAACTTTTAGTACTAGGTCGAACAACATCGCCATTTTACCTCGTTGATCGCCAATTCGTAGTTTTGTTGACTCTCAGGACGCGGTGTAAGTGCAAATATCGCAGGATCGTCTGCAAATATCGAGCCCCACAATCGAGTGGGCAGATCGATTGGTGAAACGTGGCGACTGCGACGTTGTAACGATCGCCCCTTTAGAATTGACAGATCTCCCACGATCAGTGATCAGTCGCATTCGCACAACGTACAGAAATTTTGGCAAAAAAGAGTGCTGTAGCATAGTTACAGCGTAGTAAATAGGGTAACCGTTCCGCAAATCGATCGCGACTGACGATCGATCGTCCACTTTTACCGCGTCCTCAGAGGGCGGACCATTTCTCATCAGCAACCGCGCCGCTTTAGAGCATCAGCTTGGGATGGGATTAGTGGCCATTACAGGTTGCCACGTCACACTCGTATCTGACGCGGCAATTCCCTGGTGACTTTAGAGTTGACTCGGGGGTGACACCTAGGGCGGCAATGTACGTTCCCGTAGTGAAGGCTCTCAACCTTGCTACTCTTCCCCATGAGTGAGGATCCATAGGAACTCTCGTACTTTAGAGTTGACTCGGGGATTACACCTAGGGCGACAATGTACGCTCCCGTAGTTAAGGCTCTCTCTCAGCTTATGCATCCCTCACCATACTACACCCCGTTAGTACGTCGCAGCGCCCGGAGATACGGACAGATTGTGACTCAGTCGAAGGGTCGGCAGCTGTGCCTGCGCGCGACGAGAGTCGTCCACCGAGCTCCCGCTGCATCCGCTGGAGAGAGCGCAGATGCCGAATCCGACGGCCCCTTTCGTCTTGCCGACCCTGAAATTCCGGAATGTGTCGAAACGCGAGCAGAGCATGACATTTGGGTTCCTTCTTCAGCTGAAGTTGAAGCTAGGAACCGGATTACGATAGGTCTTTCGACTGATCGCGACCAGGTCGAGGGTTCGATTCTTGATGCGCCTCAAAAGCAGATTCCTCCAGTTGAAGTTGAAGCTAGGAACCGGATTACGATAGGTCTCTCGACTGATCGCGTCCAGGTCGAGTCTGTTTCTGAGTCGCTTCAAAGGCAGACCCCGCCGTCAGTTGAATCCGAAGCTCGGAATCGGATTACGATAGGTCTTTCGACGGATCGCGAAGAGATTGAGGATCCGAGCGGGGACAATGGACGGTTTTCGTCAATGCCTGCGACACGCCCCTCTGCAGAGCCGCCATTGGTCGGCGATGATCCAAGCGAACGTGATCTCGTTACAGGGGATTCGCCAGCTAGTTTTAACGAGATTGCATTCGGCTCGAATCAAAGTGCGTCAGCTCGTAACGCGAATGCGAAGCCTAAGAAGCCGCGGCAGGCCAAGAAAGTAAAGCCGCCATTGGTGCGAGACGCCGAGCCGCTTGACGTGCTGTTTGAAGATGATTGGATACTGGTGCGTGTTTAGACATTATTCTTAGTAAGCGGCCGGTACATATCCCTTATCGGTTGCTGGTGGTTGTTCCTTTGTTCAGTATTAACTCTCTGTAGACTTAGGATATTGATTTTTTTGTTCTCTCCCTCTCCTCAACCCCTCCATGGCGCCACCAGGTGGTGAACAAGCCAGCAGGGGTGAAGCATTCGCCGCTGCACCGATTCGTTGGGGGCGCATTGGTCAACCGAGTGGTGAGTCAGTCAACGCTGGTCAACTCAGGTCAACGCGGGTCAACTCAGGTCAACGCTGGTCCACAGAGTGGTTTTAGGTGATGAACAAGCCAGCAGGAGTGAATCACCAGCCGCTGCACCGATTCGTTGGGGGAGCATAGATCAACCGAGTGGTGAGTCTGTCAACGCTGGTCAACGCTGGAGGGTCTGTTTGTAGGGTCGAATCACCAGCAAGCCATCTGGTTCACCCCAATACAAGGTTCACCCCCATACAAGGTTCACCCCCATACAAGGTTCACCCCCATACAAGGTTCACCCCCATACAAGGTTCGCCCCCAAACAAGGTTCGCCCCCATACAAGGTTCACCCCCATACAAGGTTCACCCCCATACAAGGTTCGCCCCCAAACAAGGTTCGCCCCCATACAAGGTTCGCCCCCATACAAGGTTCGCCCCCATACAAGGTTCGCCCCCATACAAGGTTCGCCCCCATACAAGGTTCACCCCCATACAAGGTTCACCCCCATACAAGGTTCGCCCCCATACAAGGTTCACCCCCATATAAGGTTCACCCCCATATAAGGTTCGCCCCCATACAAGGTTCACCCCCATACAAGGTTCGCCCCCATACAAGGTTCACCCCCATACAAGGTTCACCCCCATACAAGGTTCACCCCCATACAAGGTTCACCCCCATACAAGGTTCGCCCCCATACAAGGTTCGCCCCCATACAAGGTTCGCCCCCATACAAGGTTCACCCCCATACAAGGTTCACCCCCATACAAGGTTCACCCCCATACAAGGTTCACCCCCATACAAGGTTCACCCATACAAGGTTCGCCCCCAAACAAGGTTCGCCCCCATACAAGGTTCACCCCCATACAAGGTTCACCCCCATACAAGGTTCGCCCCCAAACAAGGTTCGCCCCCATACAAGGTTCGCCCCCATACAAGGTTCGCCCCCATACAAGGTTCGCCCCCATACAAGGTTCGCCCCCATACAAGGTTCACCCCCATACAAGGTTCACCCCCATACAAGGTTCGCCCCCATACAAGGTTCACCCCCATACAAGGTTCACCCCCATATAAGGTTCGCCCCCATACAAGGTTCACCCCCATACAAGGTTCGCCCCCATACAAGGTTCACCCCCATACAAGGTTCACCCCCATACAAGGTTCACCCCCATACAAGGTTCACCCCCATATAAGGTTCACCCCCATATAAGGTTCGCCCCCATACAAGGTTCACCCCCATACAAGGTTCGCCCCCATACAAGGTTCACCCCCATACAAGGTTCACCCCCATACAAGGTTCACCCCCATACAAGGTTCGCCCCCATACAAGGTTCGCCCCCATACAAGGTTCGCCCCCATACAAGGTTCACCCCCATACAAGGTTCACCCCCATACAAGGTTCACCCCCATACAAGGTTCACCCCCATACAAGGTTCACCCCCATACAAGGTTCGCCCCCAAACAAGGTTCGCCCCCATACAAGGTTCACCCCCATACAAGGTTCACCCCCATACAAGGTTCGCCCCCAAACAAGGTTCGCCCCCATACAAGGTTCGCCCCCATACAAGGTTCGCCCCCATACAAGGTTCGCCCCCATACAAGGTTCGCCCCCATACAAGGTTCACCCCCATACAAGGTTCACCCCCATACAAGGTTCGCCCCCATACAAGGTTCACCCCCATACAAGGTTCACCCCCATATAAGGTTCGCCCCCATACAAGGTTCACCCCCATACAAGGTTCGCCCCCATACAAGGTTCACCCCCATACAAGGTTCACCCCCATACAAGGTTCACCCCCATACAAGGTTCACCCCCATACAAGGTTCGCCCCCATACAAGGTTCGCCCCCATACAAGGTTCGCCCCCATACAAGGTTCGCCCCCATACAAGGTTCGCCCCCATACAAGGTTCACCCCCATACAAGGTTCGCCCCCAAACAAGGTTCACCCCCATACAAGGTTCGCCGCCCCCATACAAGGTTCACCCCCATACAAGGTTCGCCCCCATACAAGGTTCACCCCCATACAAGGTTCACCCCCATACAAGGTTCACCCCCATACAAGGTTCACCCCCATACAAGGTTCACCCCCATACAAGGTTCGCCCCCATACAAGGTTCGCCCCCATACAAGGTTCGCCCCCATACAAGGTTCGCCCCCATACAAGGTTCACCCCCATACAAGGTTCGCCCCCATACAAGGTTCGCCGCCCCCATACAAGGTTCGCCCCCATACAAGGTTCGCCCCCATACAAGGTTCACCCCCACCCATACAAGGTTCACCCCCATACAAGGTTCGCCCCCATACAAGGTTCACCCCCATACAAGGTTCACCCACCCCCATACTAGGTTCGCCCCCATACTAGGTTAGCCCCCAAACAAGGTTCGCCCCCATACAAGGTTCGCCCCCATACAAGGTTCACCCCCATACAAGGTTCACCCCCATACAAGGTTCACCCCCATACAAGGTTCGCCCCCATACAAGGTTCGCCCCCATAAAAGGTTCACCCCCATACAAGGTTCACCCCCATACAAGGTTCGCCCCCATACAAGGTTCGCCCCCATACAAGGTTCGCCCCCATACAAGGTTCGCCCCCATACAAGGTTCACCCCCATACAAGGTTCACCCCCATACAAGGTTCGCCCCCATACAAGGTTCACCCCCATATAAGGTTCACCCCCATACAAGGTTCACCCCCATATAAGGTTCGCCCCCATACAAGGTTCACCCCCATACAAGGTTCGCCCCCATACAAGGTTCACCCCCATACAAGGTTCACCCCCATACAAGGTTCACCCCCATACAAGGTTCGCCCCCATACAAGGTTCGCCCCCATAAAAGGTTCACCCCCATACAAGGTTCACCCCCATACGAGGTTCACCCCCATATAAGGTTCACCCCCATATAAGGTTCGCCCCCATACAAGGTTCACCCACCCCCATACAAGGTTCGCCCCCATACAAGGTTCACCCCCATATAAGGTTCACCCCCATATAAGGTTCGCCCCCATACAAGGTTCACCCCCATACGAGGTTCACCCCCATATAAGGTTCACCCCCATATAAGGTTCGCCCCCATATAAGGTTCACCCCCATACGAGGTTCACCCCCATATAAGGTTCACCCCCATATAAGGTTCGCCCCCATACAAGGTTCACCCCCATATAAGGTTCACCCCCATATAAGGTTCGCCCCCATACAAGGTTCACCCCCATACAAGGTTCGCCCCCATACAAGGTTCGCCCCCATACAAGGTTCACCCCCATACAAGGTTCGCCCCCATACAAGGTTCACCCCCATACGAGGTTCACCCCCATATAAGGTTCACCCCCATATAAGGTTCGCCCCCATACAAGGTTCACCCCCATACAAGGTTCGCCCCCATACAAGGTTCGCCCCCATATAAGGTTCACCCCCATACGAGGTTCACCCCCATATAAGGTTCACCCCCATATAAGGTTCGCCCCCATACAAGGTTCACCCCCATATAAGGTTCACCCCCATATAAGGTTCGCCCCCATACAAGGTTCACCCCCATACAAGGTTCGCCCCCATACAAGGTTCGCCCCCAGATAAGGTTCACCCCCATACGAGGTTCACCCCCATATAAGGTTCACCCCCATATAAGGTTCGCCCCCATACAAGGTTCACCCCCATATAAGGTTCACCCCCATATAAGGTTCGCCCCCATACAAGGTTCACCCCCATACAAGGTTCGCCCCCATACAAGGTTCGCCCCCATACAAGGTTCACCCCCATACAAGGTTCGCCCCCATACAAGGTTCGCCCCCATACAAGGTTCACCCCCATATAAGGTTCACCCCCATATAAGGTTCGCCCCCATACAAGGTTCACCCCCATACAAGGTTCGCCCCCATACAAGGTTCACCCCCATACACGGTTCACCCCCATACAAGGTTCGCCCCCATACAAGGTTCGCCCCCATACAAGGTTCACCCCCATCCAAGGTTCACCCCCATACAAGGTTCACCCCCATACAAGGTTCACCCCCATACAAGGTTCACCCCCATATAAGGTTCACCCCATACAAGGTTCGCCCCCATACAAGGTTCACCCCCATATAAGGTTCACCCCCATATAAGGTTCGCCCCCATACAAGGTTCACCCCCATACAAGGTTCGCCCCCATACAAGGTTCGCCCCCATACAAGGTTCACCCCCATACAAGGTTCGCCCCCATACAAGGTTCACCCACCCCCATACAAGGTTCGCCCCCATACAAGGTTCACCCCCATATAAGGTTCACCCCCATATAAGGTTCGCCCCCATACAAGGTTCACCCCCATACAAGGTTCGCCCCCATACAAGGTTCACCCCCATACACGGTTCACCCCCATACAAGGTTCGCCCCCATACAAGGTTCGCCCCCATACAAGGTTCACCCCCATACAAGGTTCACCCCCATACAAGATTCACCCCCATATAAGGTTCACCCCATACAAGGTTCTCTCCCATACAAGGTTCACCCCCAAACAAGGTTCACCCCCAAACAAGGTTCACCCCCAAACAAGGTTCACCCCCATACTAGGTTCACCCCCATACAAGGTTCGCCCCCATACAAGGTTCACCCCCATACAAGGTTCGCCCCCATATAAGGTTCGCCCCCATACAAGGTTCACCCCCGTACAAGGTTCACCCCCATACAAGGTTCACCCCCATACAAGGTTCACCCCCATACAAGGTTCGACCCCATATTAGGTTCACACCCGTATAAGGTTCACCCCCATATAAGGTTCACCCCCATATTAGGTTCACCCCCGTACAAGGTTCACCCCCATACAAGGTTCACCCCCATACAAGGTTCACCCCCATACAAGGTTCACCCCCATACAAGGTTCGACCCCATATTAGGTTCACCCCCATATAAGGTTCACCCCCATACAAGGTTCACCCCCATACAAGGTTCACCCCCATACAAGGTTCACCCCCATACAAGGTTCGACCCCATATTAGGTTCACACCCGTATAAGGTTCACCCCCATATAAGG